TCCACAATAAATCAGGCTGCAGTATCAATGTCAAATCATAAGGGAAGATCGTTTTATATAGTAAAGCAGTGCTTTAAAGTTGCTTATGGCTGCTGTATTAAAAAAATAAAAATAAAACCTGCCCATAGTTCCAAAACAGTAATGACTTTGCCTTTAAAAATGAATTAGATATTAAACAAAAATCATAGCCCCAGAGGGGATAATTGAAAAAATGTAACAAAATAAAATAAAATTAGGAAGAAGAGGGGAAAATATACCTTCAGCTCTGTAAGTCAGAACAGCTTTCCCATCCTGAACACACAGCAGCACTGAAGAGCAGCGTGTTGGCACAGCTGTGCTGCTTTCCTTGCGTTCTTAACACCACTTTTGGTTGAATTAAGGAAAGTGACATGTGTCAAGTGTGTGCTGTGCCCCTGCCCAAGCAGCCAGGGAGGAGTCCTGTTGGTAGCAACATGGTGGAGTTATTCCTCATCTGAGAGTGTTCAGTGGTCCTGGGTGCCTCAAAGTCCCCAGTTGCCACTGCTCACCCACAGGAAGGAGCCAGGGACATCTGTCCCCCAGAGCTAGGGAAGAGCCTGCCCTGGCACAACAGCTCTCATGTGAGGCAATCTGGGACTCCGACTAATATTATTCCTCTAATGATAAAGAGTGATGCTATTTGCTTCAATGATCAATTCACCTGTTATTTCCCATCCCATGATATCTGGTTAAATGTAGGGCCACTCTTGAATGAAGGATAGAGAGAGGACCCTCTAGGAGAAGACCACAGTATTTGTGTATCAATAATAAAGACAAGTGGAGCAAGAAAGTTAACTTGTTCCTACCTGCAAAGGTCTCCAAAGCAGTGCATCTGCCCCAAGATAACAGAGCAAATCCAGGAGAATGCTCCAGTACTCCAAGTCTCACCACCCACACAGCTGCTCTGCAGTACCAGAGGCCTCCTGGCACAGAGAGTGAGCCAGGACACAGCAAAGAGCCACATGGGATAGAGGTATTTAATATCCATATAAATCCAGAAAGTCAGAGCCCTCACCACAGCCTGGCTCTCTCAGGGAAAAGGGCAATGATCCTTATCTCATCCAATTCAAAAGAAAAATCCTTGCAGCTCATCTGGACACTTCAGACTTGCTTGTGGCTAGGGAAAGTCTGTCCTGGTAGCTTGGTCATAGCCCACGACCCTTTGTTCATTCTCTTTAGCCCATGCTCTCCTGACCATCATTTTAAATCTTTGAGACCATAAGGTCCTTGTGAGTGAGACTATCTCTTCACTGTACATTTGGCCAGGGCATTGCAAATGAAATGAGGTATTGCATCCCCAGCACAAAAGAAAGATGCTTCACTCTTTACAGAAGACCTGCTGCACATCCCCTTCCTCCTTTCTCTTCTCCACCAATGAAGATCAGCAATTAATTTTCCTGTGCAGGATACAATCATTACACTTACACATTGTGCTATAAAAGAACCACCCATTTTTGTACTGGAAACTCTTAACCAATTCCTCAGGGACTGGCAGCTTGCACCAAACCTTTAATTATAGCCCCATAAGAACTATTACAAGAAAAGCACTGTAGATTAAGTGGAGATGGGAGGACTGGCATTACATGAGCAGGGCTGCAGGCTCAGTGCTTGCAGGCATCAGCCCGGGACACTGGAGCTGGGACACTGGGGAGGGGGCACAAGGTGGCTGCAAGAAGACAGGGCCCCTCCTTTATTCAAAACTCAGCCCCTGAAACACATTGAGCAACATGCTCTGCTCCTCCTCCTGCTGCCCAGGAGAGGGCTTCCAGGGCTCCACCAGCCACCACCTGCTCCTGTAACACGTCCCTGCCAATGCTGCCATCAAATTCAGCTATTGCACAGGTACAGATATAGCTCTCCCTGCCTAAGGGTGGTTTTACCAAGTGCCATAAGCCTGGGCATAACTCAGGAACAGTTATATTGCACCAAGTGCCTGCCTGCCCAGAAACAGCAATAGCCCCCAGCAAACAAAGGTCAGCTCTTGCCCATGTGGTTACAGCTGAGCTGCTCAGGACCTGCTGTAAAGGTGAGGGCATCCATCACGCACCATCACCACCGTGAGTGGCTCCAGAGAGGAGCAGTGACAGCTCAGAGCATCCCAGCAGATCCCAGCTTACACCATGGCAGCACTAACCCTGGCTTCATGCTCCTGCCCAGAGCCTGGCCTCCTGATGCATACATGACTGGATCAACAGCAGGCACTGGGCTATGCCACAGGCACAATTGTGGCTCCTCTCCAGCAGACCTGGAGAAGCAGCGAGCCAGCAGAGCAGCAGAGTCCCTTACACAAACTCGATGCCACTGCGCTATGCAAGTGCAAAGGGGGGGCTGCACAGGGAGGGGAGAGGAGGACGTTGTTACAGCAGCATTCAGAGGAAGGGTTTGTGAAGTTCCCAGGATGGAGACCTTGGGGATTTGAGCCAAAGGAAGATGTTAAGATTATGCAAATGTTCCTTATGCATCTCCCAGGAGTCTCTGGCTTTTCATCCCAAATTATTGCAGCTCCTCATTAGTCTATCTCTATCCCCTGCTCACCAAGCAAGACAGTGTCATCTGACTGTCAAAAGCTACCACATATCACAGAGGAAACACGTTTTCTCCCTCATGCTCACTCTGTGCCAGAAATACTGACCGCACTGGTCCTTCTCATTCATTATTCGAATTTCCCCTGTTGGCACCATTTGGATTTGGGGGGTTGTTTGTTTTCTGCTGTTGCTTCTGCACAAGCCGAGCTCCATGAGTTCCCTCCACCCTCTCAGCACCTGGAATCACACTGGGCCATAAGAAAGCCTTCCCACCAAAACTGCATAATATCTTCTTCCACATGGTACTCACCAGCCAAAGCAACAGGATAGCTTGGAGAACAAAACCCTGAACTCACAAAAAAATAATTCAAAACATTCAGTGGACTTCACTGCTGCCGAGTTTGGCCCTGGACCAGCACAAAACCACGGGCTGGCTTATTGGTGCTTCTGTGGAGCAAGACATGACCAACATGCTCCCAGAGAAGGGAATCCCAGAGACCTTCCCATTATATGGGGACCAAGGCAGCTTCACACCCATTGCATTGAGGCCCTTTCCCAGCACCCCCAGTTTTCAGAGCTCACTTTGCTCTCAAGAAAGCACCAAGTAAAAGGCAAGAAGCAGCAGAGTTGTTAAAGGCATTCAAAGGATAGATGGCCCAAAATGCATCTGGCAGGCACACCAGCCTGGAGGCAAGATGAGCCCTGGGGTGAAGTCCTTTTGGAGGACCCCTGAACTGCCACCCCTAAACTCTGCAAGCACAGCAGGAAGCCCCAGAAGCTGAGGGCAAAGGGACTTTGGCAGCTGATCCACACAGTAAATTAAGTTTAAATGAGGGAGATGTCATAAAAGGACCGTAAATGCATGACAGTGATTTATACGGAGCACCAGCCCTGAGCTGTGGTTATAACCCCATGATCCAGCCAGCTGCATTTATCACTACGGCTCTCACTAAATTCTGCTCCAGTTCTGGGAGCAATTTCCCTGGAAAACTGCTCATGCTTTTGGGATCGCTGTGTCTTTCACTTTTAGGTTTCTTCTCCCTCTGCCTTTGTTTTTTTTTTAATAAGCATCAAACTGCAGAAGTCCTAATGTCTGCTCAGGCTTCCATCCCTTCCTACAAACCATGCCACCCTTCTCCTCAAGGGGCTTTCAGTCTGTCCCACTCAAAAAATAATTCAAGAGAAATTACAGAGGAGTTATACTACTTCTGTCTCTGAAAGTGGTCTTTGTGCTCATATTATTTGCCAGTGATACTCTATCACCACAATTACCACTGCTATTTTATCTCTCTCTGCCTGTAATGCTGATGAGGGAGCAGCAGACAGTGCTGGTGTTTAAACTGAATAAGTCACTTAAATACATTTATACCCCCGGATCACAACATACCGCATAAAGCTAACCCTCTATCACACACTGACTTGATACAAATGCTCACCACAATATCAGGCAAAGCAATCATAAGAAAAATGCAGGATGATTTGATCTGCATCTGCCCGCGAGTCTTTGACAAAGGTATTAGATGAAAAAATTCAAAAAAGGGATGAAGCATCTCACCTATACATGGCTTTTGCTATGCTGACTCCACAAGGAAAGCAGCGACTTGAAAAACTCCTTGGTAGATTTGCAGCCATGCTTGTAAAGTCCTAATCCAGCAAGGGATTGCCCGAGGCTTGGCACTCGAACAGGGATTTTTTTTGTGAACAAATCAAAGAGGAAAAATGCCTGGGGCCAGTATGCTTGGTATGGGGGACCTGGCTCACATCCTGGCTGTGAAGCATCTCCCAGCTGCCCTCCCCAGCTCTGCTCCACTGCCCCATCTGTGCGCCAGGCCTGGGAGGCCTTTCCCCGTCACTGCTGTGCCAGTCAACAGTTAAAAATTGGTAGATGCTTGGATGCTGACTCAGTGATCCTGCACACCTTAAGCACTTCTCTGATGGACTCTGTCACAAACTTGACTGGGAAGAAATCACCTTGAGCTTTCAGCTACCTGTCCGAGATGTGATGTGGGTATCTCTCCTGAGCAGGGTTGTTATGATGTGGTTAGTGTCGGCCCCATTCCTTTTAGTCTTCATCTGGAATGTGCTAGAAAATGCTGAAAGACTGTTACAGACCTCATCACATCTGGAGCCAGATGTGGTCCCTGAAATTCACTGTCTACTGCAGTGCCATTGAACCAGAGAACAGTGGGTGGAGATGTTTCCCTGGACAATCTGATGGGCAGATAAAGCTCAGCAGAACTCACGGGCTTTGCATTGGCCAGGTGAATAACTTGTTGGTGATGGCATGTTATGATCCTAGGCAAGAGTCATTCTCTGAGCAGGCAATTAACCCAACACCTTTATTCCCAGTGCCCTTCTCCAGCCTCAGCACAGGCCCAGGGCAAGATCAGGGAAGAGGCAAGCCACGGTTTGGAAGCCTTGCATGGTAACACACTTCTGCATTCCTCTGCCTTACAGGTGCTTGGAGAGGAGAGGGATGAAGGTAACACATGCTCAAATTAGGGACAACACTTCAGCCTCTCATCTACCCCAAGAATCTCAGCTCCCAACACACCCCTGCTCCCTGAGCAACATTTTGCCCACAGCATAGTGCTATATGGACTGTGCTATAAACAACAACATTTCCTAGTTGAAGGATAGATCACCAAACTCAGTCTTATTGTTCTTCCAAGAGTCCAGTAAAACCCATTTGACAGCTCTCCCATCAGGCAGCTGACAAAGCAGTTTCCCAAGGCCAGCAGCCTGTGCTACCGCAGCCCTGGGGGAAGCCTTTCCCAGAGCTGCACTTCATGACATGTTTAATTAAACCCACTGGCTGCTCAGCAAACTCAGCCTCTCCCAGTGAGCTGGGGGAAGAGGGGAGGATAGGGGATCTCTGAAAAATGGGCAAGCAGCCCTACCTAGCTCACCTGGGAGGATTTGTCCATGCATGCACCAGGCTGTGGGCAGAGGTGATGGGAGGGAATCGGGCAGGTTACAGTATCACAAGAGCATGAGAAATCTGTTTTTTCTGGTGCCAGGACACAGGCCTGTAACACAGACCCCAATACTACTCTATGCTGTGCTCAGGTGAATTTCAGCTCAAGATTTGGCACTAGAGGTCTCAGGTTCCCATCCTCATCTCCAACAGAAAAACCCTCCGTGACCTGTCTGTCTTGCCCATAGTGCCTTCAGGGCACCAAAGGCAACACATGGCCATCACCTCCTGCTTCTCTTCTTTCCTCAAATTCAGCTTCAACCCAGGCAGAGCAAGTACCTGGATGAAAGCAGAGGCCAGACCCCGTGGTACAGCAGCAAGCGTCACCACTTTTCCCCCAGGCAGACCCCGGGCTGTTTGGATGCATCAATTTAGGAGCTGGAGTCAACCAAGGACAAAGCAGGTGCAGCCCTGGGACATGGGACGATACTGAGGAAACCAGAACTGCCAGCACGTGGAACAAAAGAAAGTGAAGAAAGCAAGGCCCCTGTTGCAAAACTTGATCAAAGCCCAGCAGAAACCTGCATGCTGCTAGCAAAGGAAATGGACAGGGGAGATGCACCAGACAACAGAGGGTTTGGGTAGTTTGTTGCCAGATTGCACTAGAGCAGATAGGAAAGAAAAATCAGTTATCCCTCAGCCTGAAGTAAATTACATGACACATCCCTCAAGAGCGCAAGGTGAATCTCTTGATCAGCCAAGCGATGCTGGCATGCAATTCCCCTTGATATCACCCGATTTGAATTTTAGTCGTGCACCCTTCGCAAGCACTAACAGCTCTGGAAACCACAGGCCTCTGTTCCCATGCAGAAGGAGCAGAGCACACAGCCCTGGGCATGAGTATCCTGGTGCCAGCTCTGCTGCTGGCTGGAGAAGGACAGAGCTCATCCCCTGCTTCATCCTGCCTTTGCACTCCCCACCAGAGCTGGGCATGCAGGGACCAGCTGGTTCCATGTGGGGACAGTCATCTGTCCTGTATTAGACAGGCAAAAATCAGGTTTGCCACCAGAAATATGACTTCTCCCAAGGTTATGAATCACATCGTTCTGACACCTCCCCACACCATGAGAGATGGGTGTGAGCTGCAGAGGTGGAGGGGAGCATGTGTTCAAACACTGGCTGAATACCAAAGTAGTTTCTTGGACATCCCATCCTCCCTTAGCACCTCCCCACTGCAGGATCCACCATGGGGTCTACCAACAGCTAAACCCACCAGAAACCCCCCCACCAGAGCCCCCACACTCCTGTAAAACAGAAGCACCTCATTTCTGAGGAAGACCCCCAGTGTATCCATCCAGAGCATCAGGCGGCTTATCCTGTATTACTGACCATGGGACAGGAATTGGCCTGGAAATGGTTTGTGTCCCATGAACATTCAATATCAATAATAAAAGTCAGAGGAAAAAAAAAATATCAGACTTGGATCCAGTAAGCACACATCAAATTAAAAGCAAAGAAAAAATTTCATCTGATGAGATGCAAATGGAAATACACTAAACCCTCAGCTAATGTACTCAAGCAGAGACCTGTTGACTTCTGTAACCAAAGTTCACTTAATTGCTCACTTCTTCCGGTTAATACAGGTAGCTTTAACTCGTCTGCTGTGCTTCATACCAATTGAAACCCTTATTTCTGCAACAAGGACAACAGGATCCACTCCAAAACCACAACAGAGGTTGCTTTAAGGAATTTTGAAGGTAACTTTGGCAAAAGCTGACTATTGAAGCTGCTCCAAATTCAGGACCGGTGCAAGCATCAGGACTTAGCAAATAGCTCACCACTAAGCAAATAAAGCAACGCAGGGCTGTGAAAGAAGGTTGGTCTGAGACATTTCAGATTGGCCTCTCTTTTTCCTCTACAGCATCTGAATCAGCAAGGGACTTGGTAATTTCTGGAAGACTTGTGTACACTCAGTTAAAATAAAACTCCAGTGATGAGTTTTCCTAACCCGCCAAGAGAGAATACATCTGAACGATAACACAAAAATTGCAGGGGATGAGGGTAGCTCAAACAGGGACTTGGAGTTGAGAACATTTATTACTCAGCCAGCCCCCAGAGTTTGACCTGCCATTCAACCATACCACGTGCCTCTGCACATCCTTCATCAAAGGGGGCTGCAATGAGGCACAACTTTTGCAGAGCAAACCCAAGAAATTCTGAGGATGTTCACAAATTTGCAGGTTACCACCCTTCAAGTGAGATGCAGTAACTGAGCATGTATTTGCTCATAGCCTGCCCTGATTGCAAAGTAAAACAGGCTTGTTTAAACTACTGCTTCAGGCACCTTTTCATTTGAAGTGACAAAGATGGTTTAAGCAAACACATTTTACTCCGCAATTGGGGTCAGCTAAAAATCTGGCCAATTACCTGTGGTCAATTCCTGCAGCTCAGCTGCCACAGGGTTGCTTCTGGCAATGATCACCTGTGATCACAAGAATGTCAGAGCAGTCCTAGAAAATTGTGCTTTCCCACAGGAGATGAACACAGCACTCGAAATTTTTTTTACTATTTTAATGTTTTGAACAAAACATGTGGTTTTCCTCCAGAGGTACACTGTGCTCAGCACAAAATTTCAGGGTGTTCCAGGGGAGGGGAGACAGGAGCACATACTGACCAGTTTCTTTAACCATTCTTCCCTGCAGAAAACATAATCACCTGCATTCCAGTGCTGATCCCAAAAAAAAGCAAAAATACTAAGTGAGAGTGGTTTAATCAGCCTACAGCTCTCAATGAACCCGAGCTATCAGCACGTTTTGCTGCTACGCAAACATACCTTGTTTCTACAGGAACACTCGGAAAATTAAGAGGTATCAATAAAAGTTGCAAATACATACTTCACTTGAAGTACATTCAAACTCTGTGTAGATTCTCATTTCAGATTAAAATGGCTTTAAATTACTGCTTAGTCTTCTGCCAAAAAAAAAAAAAAAAAAAAAAAAGCCCTGAGAAATGGTTCTTGCTGTGAAGAACTGTGAAGTTTAAATAGTCAAGACTGGCTGAAAGCATAGTTGTTATATCCACTTCACACCTGGACAGATTAAAGTGCCCCACACCAGAAAAGGAGGCTTCTGGCCATCTTGGAGGGAAACTCAGATCTGCCAAGATCCAGCCTGCAAAAATAACATACTTCAGAACAATCTTTGCAGCCTTTTTTTCTCTCTGGATGTTAGGTAAGCAGAAGAGCTTAAAAAAAAAACCAACAACAAACACCAAAAAAAAACCTGACAATATCTGAAAAATAATAAAGAATAGTAAAAATAAAGAAAATGGCTGGTCTAGGCTTCATAGAAAGGGAAAAAGGGAACAAGACTGCCCTTAAAGCCAGCATAGGATGTGGAACCAGGAAATTCACTGTTAGGAGAAAGCTCTGGCTAGCCATGACAAGGTCAGCCTTGACAGCCCTTCATCATCCCTGGAGGACGCAGTACCTCCTTGAAAACATGGTGTCACCTTGAAAGCACTCCAGCTAAGACAAGAAGGATCCCAAATAGAAAATCCACAAATACCCTCTGATTAAGAACCAGTTCCACAAGTTGCCATGACTTACACATTTGTGTTCGTTGCCCTCTCAGAGGAGGTGCTGCAGGAGAGATGAGCACCACACTGCGGCTGCATTGTGAGACAGCCACAGAGTAGGTCGTAACCTGGGGGTGGCCACATTACACCAGCTGCTCAACATTTGGAGAGCCCTACTCAGCCTCTTCACATTGGAGTGAGCTGAGGGCAAGACTGCAGCTTCACCTCCAAACTTCCTTGCTCCTGCAGGGATCAGGTTGTTGAAGGCAGAGCAGGCCCCAAGAGAAAGCTCAGCACCCTGTGCTCACCAGCTGAGAGGCAGCAAAGGCCAGGGGAGGCTCTCAACAGGTCTGGAACCTGTTCCAGCCCCAGAGCTGCATTCCCACAGCCTTACTCATACTGACTTGTCTGGGTGGCTCCATACACCTGTGATGAGGTTATATAAACCCACTGAGATCAGCAGAGGGATTTAAAAAGTATATCACTTTAATAAATCCACATACATACTCCAACTCAGAGGGAAAGCAAGCTGAAGGGTAAGGCTGAGCAGAAGAGCAGGCAGGGGGTTTGACCTCAGACACCCGCAGCATGTCCTGCAGATCCTGCCCTACGCCCCCACACCCATGTGTGCCACAGGCACAGCTTCACCTTCCCCTCGGAAAATAAGGTTCCTCAAGGAAGCTTGGAAGCTAGGTGAACGGTTGGACAAGGTGATCTTCAAGGTCCTTTCCAACCTAGATGATTCTGTGGTTCTGCGAAGCCCATGGGATGAGATCCTGACATCTTTCTGTATGCTGAACAGCACAAGTGGCTGATCTGCATGGGGCTGCTTAAAAAGTGCCCAAGTAGGGAACAGAAAGAGCATCAAAATCAAGCTCCTGCTTTTAGAAACACACTAAAAATACATTCTGCTAGAGGAGATGGCACAACAGCTAAACCACCTGCTAGGAAAATAATACTCAATTGCTAAAGTGCCTAAGTACAAACGTACATGATTTAGAGACTCTAATTTTGGTAAAGATAGTTGGGATGGGCTAACTTTCAGGAAGAGTCATTAACGCTTCAGAGATGCAAAACACTGGTTTTGCTGCCTGTCTTCTCTTCTTGACTTTACCCTCTGGTATCTTCACAAGGTGATAGAGATTAAGTCAAAGATCTATTTCTCTCTGTTCTTTCTTGCAACTTTGTTAGGGCACAACAGTTTCACTCTAACACAGGGCTATGAAACAGCAGCCTGAGATCTGGCACTGTGCACTTAGTTACTAGCAACCCACCTGCAGGCAGTGCTCTGGGACATGCAGCTGAACACCTCTGGAGCAGTTTCTTGTTCACAGGATCTGGGAGGGAAACCTTTCCTCTTGTTCACCTGGGCTTTCAACACCCACAGCCCCTTTACCCGCACAATGCATCCCTCTTTACCTTGTAGCAACTTGGTCTTTGAAAGTACTTTGAAGATGGCACTAAAACTGTTCTTATGTCCTGCTGTCAGACTGCAGCGAAGGGCCAACTGCTCCCTAAAAACCAAAACCACAAAAAACTCACCTGCAGGGCTGAGCTTGTTAAGTGGTGCCCCTGGGCTCAGGTGGAGCTGATCAGGGCCCCTAAGGCCCGTTCGTGCCCCAGGGCTCAGCACCTGTGGCTCTACTCAGCAAAGCCTCTGCTCTGTGGTGCTGGTAAGAGTCTGCAGGTGCCAAGTCTCAGCTGTTCCTTCTGCCTGCCCAACCTGCTCTGGAGTTTGTAGCTCTCGACACAACAAAGCCCACTGTGTGACCTGCTTTTTCACTGCTGTTGATGCAAAGGGTTTCAAGATTTACAGCAGCAGGACATGTTACTGGGTGTGTAGTATGTGCTCCTGCTGCTGTGAATTCACAAAGCAAATGTAAATTAAGGACTGGATTCTTGTTCCATGTCTCTGGTAGCTGACAGGTAATCCCAGAAGGGTCGTGCTCCTGCCTCTGAACTTGGTAAATTCAGTGTACAGTGTTTGGTTTGTGTCCTGCTTGTACAATACACCGAATACAGACCTGCCAGACAAGATCAGAGCTTGTTAGATATGAAGTTACTTTTAAAATTATCTATATATTGCAAGAGCTCTGAAAATGAACAATATTACATACTTTGCTCACTGAAAAAGAGTCCAGGATAGATTTACTGTGTAAGCTACTACAGCTCCAATCCAAACCAATTAAATTGAAGGAAGATTTCCTCTAACTTAAGTACCATGGATCATAGACCTTCGCCTCCATCTTTTCACGTATCTTTACAAGAACAAGCAGTTAAAGATATGCTTCCTGCTTCTAGGCTTACATCTTGCACAGACTGGAATTCAATTAACATTTTTCTGCAACAAAACTTGGAGAAGCACTTCAGAGCTGCTGCTCACAATGCAGAAGTGACTGAACAAATGATACTCTCATTAACGCGCTGCCTTTCCCTGCTGTGCAAGCCAAATCCTTGAACACTAAAAGCACCTCAGCATCAGCTGGGTTCATAGACATCCAGAGCAATTTTTCAAGCTCCATGACTTTTATAGACCAGGGGGGGAACAGATTTGGTATGCTTTAATCCATTCTATTATATGAACTCAGAAATAGTTTACACTCTCTAGCACTATAAATTAAGCTGGCTGCAGTTATTCTATTCCTGATTACGCTGAAAGTTACTGGCAATAATTTGATGACTCTATTTCCCCCCTCCCCCCTTTTTTTTTTTCTTTTCCAAATTAACCTATGAATTTAGTTTTTCTAGTAGTAAGTAAATAATGCAACAGAACTGGAGATAATAGCCAACACATTCACATCTGGATGCCTGAAGTTGTGGATGGACACAGTAAAAGCTCCTGTACTTTGTAGGTGGAATTTACTGTATTCCCTTCGCAGCTTTTCAGACTAGAACAAAGTATTGTATGAGAAAATCACAATTTTTTTTACACTTCTCTATGTTGATTTTTTTTTTAATCTAGAAGACTAATTGCTTCTTAGACATAAGTGAATTCACCTTTGCAAGTCATTAGACAAATACTATCCTACCCATTTTAGAAACTGGAAAACTCAAGTCAAGAATCATTTATGGATGGAGCTTCTTACTCTAAAAATAGTCCAATCTGTGCAATGCAAGCTACTATTAAGTACATCTAAAGATAGAAAATAATCTGTATTAGTGTATTCATAAAAATATATGCAATTAAGGAACAGATTCCATCTGCTTGGCTCCCTTTCCTTTGCTCTGACCACTGTAACACCTTGTCTCCTAAACACTGATAACAAAGAGAGAGAAAGATGTACACAGACTTGGATTACCTCTGGATAAGTTAGGAGGTATGTTGTACATACAGAGTTTAATAAATAAGTTGCTTCTCTACAGTGTGATAGTGTTCGAGTAGTCTAACTGTGCCTCTCATTCATGTGAATTAATAAATGTGACTTTGATTATTTATTTCAGTAAAAATGACTTTCCAGTATCAGTAAGCACAGCAGAGTCCAGCTCCAGGCTGGATACTCAGGACCTTAACAAATACTGGCTTTTATAAGCTTCAGTAAAAGCTACTTGAGATCCCATCAAACTCAAGTGCCCATGTCAGTTATTCTCAATTATTCTAACTATAAGGACATGTCAGGTACACAAAAGACAAGATTCAGACAGCATGACTGCCCTAAAATGATAACTTTAGCATAATGCACTTGACAGTGAAAAAGCAATAATAGCTATTTTGGGAACAAAAGAAAAATACAATGGATCTGATGGCTAAGTGTTCTGGTCCCCAGTGTAAAAGCAAAGTAGATCCCTGTCGTATTTAACTTGATTCCTTTGAATTAAACACTTCCATTAAAAGTTTCCCACAGTAGCTTTAATATTTAATTATGTATTCCACCAAAGGAAAGAACAAAATCTTTGCAAAGGGTTTTTTTTTGTGCATGTGAAATATTTATCAGTATATCTCTTTGGACAAGTATTTTTATCCCCCAGGCTGGGAAAAAGCTTCCATGTACAAATCAGTTTCAAAACATTTTATTTTACAGCTTGAAAGTTTTCTATACTTCAGCACCTCATGCCGTGACTTTGTTATTTCACTTGTTAATGAATGGTAATTAAATCTCTTTTGGCTGAAAAGGTTGGAGGGCTCCTGCTGTATTACAAAAACAATTTCTGAAAGTTACAAAAATGCCCAAGTGTCTAGAAATTAAAGAGTAAAGTTGGCTGTGTTTTAGGTCCAAGTTTGAATAGCTTGGAAGGATTTATGTGGGCAAACAGCATGTCCCAGTCAGTGTTTACAGTCCCCCAAACTGCACAGACATAATTATGTCACATTGTGTCTACCAGAGTAAACAAAATCACATTCTTAATAATGTACATTGTGGCCACAAACTTCCTTGATCTTACTAACAACTGTAACAAACACTGCATAAACCCTATTATATACTACATGCACAAAGAACTGCTACAGGTATACATCTAAGTTAAGACTTGTTAATTTTGCATTTGCTCAGTAGGGCTTTAAACATCAGCCTATTAATTTTTCTTCTTTTCTGTTTTCTCATTTCTTTCAGGTGCTTTGAGTCAGAAGATAAATGGAGTGCTTACAACAGAGGTAGATAAAGGGAAATAACTACGTATTAAGGCATTTTGTAGTGTTACAGTGCTAAATAGAGACACAGTATTGAAGAAATATCTGCATGGTCTCCAGTATTCAGTTACACCAGTGTAGGCTTCTGCTGGCATCATATGGGCAGATTTGGTTCACAGTTTGTAAATCAAAACTATGTAAATTCTACTATTAAATGCCTTTTCCTGGAGGCAATACAATGATTTCAGAGGCAAAGTTGATTCTGAATTTCTTTTAAAATTACAGTTTCTCAAACAAGTCAGCACAAATAGAGTTTAGCAAGAAACTGGGAATGGGAATGTGATGAGTCCATTCCTAAGCTGTAATTTTGGGAAGGGGTCTGCTGAGAGCAAAGCCGCCTCCGGTGAAGCGAGGAACATCAGACCTGTGGCATGGAAGCTCAGGCTCCTTGTCAGTCAAGAATCGCTTCTTCTCCCTTTAAATAGAAACAAAGAAAAGGAATATACATCTTTCATTCTGCAGCCCAATGATGTTTACAAACTAAGGGAATCTGTGTCCTCCAAAGTTTCTTTGATGCAACCACCTATCCAGTGATCATTAAAAAAATGTTGATTAAAGCCTGTTAGGCTAAACCACCAAGACTAAGTGTCTGTTTGGATCTAATTACAAGACTACTGATGCTTTCTGGAATTATTAAAAATCAGAATTAAATGAGCTTTCCTCATGCTACTCCCCAAAATGGTCAGAGCACCTCATTAGAGTAAGTTTGTACCTGAGCACTGTGAATTCAGATTTCTAATCACCACCTCATTCTAGCAAGTATATGCCTGTTTTCAAACAAACAGCTACATTCATCAAAGGGAGATATTTTTTCTTTGTTGAATTTTAATGAATGATGTGATCTGTCTTCACATTTTAACAAAGTTCTAGTGATAATTACCCTGCCTGTGACATTTGCAGAAAACTAACAGTGTGCTGTGAGTGCACTGACAGCCCCTGGAAGTTGCTGCATCGGAGGACCCAGGAGGGTTTGAATTTGATGGCCTTAGGAGGGAACAAGGGTTAGCTGGTTCCACTCTTATGAGGTTGGGGACGTAAGCACAGCACAACAAATATAAAGGGCAGCATATCAAACTCACTGTGATATATCTGGAGGTTTCGGAGAAAGGTCCTGAGATATTTAGAATTAACCAAGTGAAGCATTATGAAGTACTAGTTTATCATAACAACAGAGGTCTCAAGGCTTTACAGAGAAGGTCAGTGACATTACTTTTATTTTACAGTCATTGAGACTGAGACACAAACGTGAGTGCAACCATGCTTTTGCAAAATCTAGCCTTGTCACATTAGTACCCTTTCTCCATCCTCAGTAAAAGAAAACACTTCCTAGAATTACTACTTCTCTCTTCGTCCCTAAATAACTGTGTTGGGAGAGGAGGAAGTTCAGAGAAACCTGTAGGATGACTAGTTAAGCTTCCTTTTCCAAATTTAACCCATATGGAGGTGGGAGAATAGGCAAAAGATGGCATAGATGAACTTAACCATGAAAACCATATATAACTGTTTTTAATTGTATCAATATAGCACTAATGGATGTGCCAGCTGACAGCACTAAAAACTAACATGCTATATTTAGAGGGCTCATCCTATCTCACTATTGGGCTTCCAACTTTGGGGAGAGAAAATGATCCAGAGTCCATGCTCATTCTTTCTTCATGCTCCCATGGAGACAGCCAACAGATGTGCTCATCAGTATGGAAAACTCTATGCAGCCAAATACTGTAATATATTATGCAGAATTAATGTGCAAGCAGCCACATGCAAAAGCTCCGAGTTGCTACCGACATCTCTCAGTGCAGTTATTTACATATATAGGACTGCAGGATCAGGTCTCTGGTGTGGATTTAAGCTTCATATTTTCTCAACAATCCTTATCAAGGTCAAACTGGAACCCTGGTGCTAGAAGCAACTAGGAAAAGTAGGGAAGCAGAAAGTGTGCAAGCAGAAGAAAAGAATGGGAAGACTGAGAAAAAGAAAGCCTATGACATCTGGGAAAGAACATTCAGAATCAAAGAGCAGAAAAAGAGGATTTCAAATTCACAACCAAAATCTTAAACACTGGAATTTCAGCTTGAACACAAAGCTAAATTCTTGTTGTCACTCATATTCCTTCAGCATCCCATGGAAAGGTGCATTAGTTCAGTATCAAGACTTTAAATCACAAATCAGAGTTATCTTGTGCAAATCAATAAAAGCTTTAGATGGTACCTTTGTATGAGGTTATCTGAGAGTATTAATTCTCTTTCATACCAGAGTAGTCAATAATGCTATTAATGCTATTGTCCTGACAGCATCCTCTTTTTATTAGCAAACCCAGCCACATTTATTTCAGACATGATGTTAACATCATAGTGATCAAGTCGGTGGTCTGGTGTCCGCTGGGATTTAGAGCAACCTGAGATTGTACAGATCAAATGGCCCAATTCTTTGGCTAGCATCTACACACCAGGCAGTGCCTGTCCAGCCCAGTCCAAGGCAGGAACGTTGTGGAATGGCTGTATGTCAGGAGTGAAGGACTCCTCTAGAAAGTATCTGGCTGCACAACAGGCTCTCTCTATTGCAGAAAGCAAAAAACATGTCTTGCACAATTGGCAGTTTGGAGAAGGAAGGATTCACAACAAGGTTATTGCCTTTGCACTGCTGCTGGGCAACACTAAGCGCAGTCTAGAGATTACAGAAGCTGCAGCTATCCAGGACTGATATACAGTTAGTTATGCCTTGAGGTGTGTGTATTCCTCAAAGCAGGATGTAGTCCAACAGGTTGGACTGGAGAACAAAGCAATGAGGGGCAGAGGAGAGCAAAGCCCAGCGTCCTGGGCCTCTTTGTGGCCACCTCTTGGCTGCCACAAAGACAAGAGAAGCGCAGGTCAGGGCTGACTTGCTGGTAGCTTCTGGGCCTGATGTGGGAGCAATGAGATGCTATCAACCTGCAGAACACCACTAACAGCATCTGAATGTACTTCCAAAACACATATGTCACAAAGACACCATGCTCATTGGAATACAGTCATGCCTGCCTACAAGAACAACAACGCAAAAAGATGCACTAATGGTGGATATCTATCCCAAACCTATAAACAATGTGATGAGTCCAGCACTAATTGACCTGCAACACAAAATTCCATTCACTGTATATGATTACCAGACCCAAGTTCAGTCACCATCATCTTGCACAATATTTTTGTTTTACTTTAAAGAAGTTATGCCCCTAACAAGCTGGGTTTTTTTCAACAGTTATGACAGGAATTAATTCTAGGTATGCTATAACAACAAAACACGGGTGAATTTATTCTCATCTGAGGAACAGAAAAAAACATGATGCAAGGGCCCAAAATAGAAACATTAAGACTATTGTGAAGAGGATACTTAGCTGCTGGAAATGGATTATCAGGCGTTATGGTAGCCTCACATATTGATCCTAAAGCTCCAGGAAGGCCATTAGCACTGCACAATTATTTCTAATTCTAAACATTATGTGATTTTCAGATGGACAAAAGTCACAGTTTATCACTGACAATTTTGCTAATTTAGTCATCAAAACTGTTTGCTGGCTGAAATATGATTAAGGAATAAATAGATCCAGGCAGCTTTGAATTATATTCCGCAACGTAGAGAATTGTTGGCTTTAGTGTGTGAGGAAGGGACAGGCTGAGGATGGAAAGGGGTGGAAAGACAAAATGCATACACAGGAAAACTTGGTAACAGATCATGTCATCTAACTGCAGAAATGTAAGAATCTTCTCTTTAAAGTAAATAACCCCATTTTCAGAAGTGACTAATAATTTTGTTGTCCCAGCTTGGAGATTCATTATCAGAATAGTCTCATCTCTCAGACTTTGCAAATTAGGTCATTTTAATGAGCCACAAGTTGGGCAACTAAGATGCTAGTCATTTTCCTTTAATCAAGAGGAGCAGCTGAATGCTCAGTTGTGGACTGGGAGTAGCAGGGAGGTGCCATCAAACTGCTACTAGTTAAGGAGAGACAATAATTACCTACAGGAAAGTTCTTAGGCTCTACCATCAAAAGAGTAAGACACCTGACAAAGCCAGACTCAGCACTGCTCACTCTCCTCCATCTGGAGGTAGGAAAGAAACAAGAACTGGTTGGAGAATGCTCTTCCCTGCAACCATTGGCAATAATATCTGCCACCAAAAGGGAATATTCATCAGTCACAACTACCACATTTTGGAAATAATGACATTATTCTTACACCAGGACTATGTAGTTGACACTTGAAGAAAGGTTGTCCCCCATATTAGATACTGTTTCATTACAATTTTAACTTGTAAAATGCACTGAGGTCCTCAAAATGCTTGAGGATCTCTCATGCTATTTAAAAAGTCATGGCAGTCAGGTGAACTTCCTGGTGACTCATAAAAGAGAAACATTGCATCCATTTTTTAAAAGGGTAGAAAGGAGGACCCTGGGAACAACCAACCTGTCAGCCTCATCTCTGTGCCTGGGAAGATCATGGAACAGATCTTCCTAGAAGCTATGCTAAGGCACACGGAGGACAGGGAGGTGATTCAAGGCAGCCAGCATGGCTTTAGCAAGTCCTGCCTGACCAACTTCTGTGATGGAGTGACTACATCAGTGGACAGGGGGAAGAGCTACAGATGTCATCTATCTGGACATCTGTAAGGCCTTTGATAGAGTCCCCCATAACATCCTTGTCTCTAAACTGGAGAGATATGGGTTTGATGGGTGGACTGTTCAGTGGATGAGGATTTGGTTGGATGGTCACATCCAGAGGGTAGTGGTCAGCAGCTCAATGTCCAGATGGAGATCACTGACCAGTGGTGTCCTCAGGGGTCTGTATTGGTACCAATACTGTTTAATATCTTCATCAGTGACATAGACACATAGTGGGACTGAGTGCACCCTCAGCAAGTTTGCAGATGACACCAAGCTGAGTGGTGCAGTTGACACACCCGAGGGATGGGACACCACTTAGAGAGACCTGGTTCGAGAAGTTGGCCCATGTGAACCTCATGAGGTTCAACAAGGCCAAGTGCATGGTCCTG